ATAAATATTGAGTTGGGAGTATGCACCATAGAAACAGACGCAGACCAGGGCTCCTCTAACACAGATATCATCAGTTCACATGGTCGTTCAACGATCATGAAGGAGGTGAGGCAATTATGACATGAGTGACAAGGGAAATTTGGTGACATAGTTCAAAGACAGATCAAGTCTGCTAAGGGGGATGGGAGGCGTCAATGGATGAGTCAAACAATGACAGAACAGTTTGAGGCCTGAGTCTGCGACCCGTGTGAAACCAAAAGTCAGCGTTGAGTAACTAAAGTAGCCTACGTAAGCAAATAAACGTAACATACAGTACGTGATAAACATAGGAATACTTATATAACCCAAACCATGATCTTCTACCTAAAATTAAACTGGTAGATAGGGTGCCTAAACCTACCCAGTCTGTCATCCATTCATAACGTTGGATTATGCCTACTGGTGGGTTCAGTTTGCCCCTTCTAAAGCATCAAAGTGGTGGTAACAACAACTTATCACAGCCATTTGATGACCATAATATTTATTATGTGCACCACCACATACTAACTAACTTACCCAATACTTGTTCCCTGGGGAAGTTGCCATATTTCTCCCAAGCATCACCAACACTCTGCAGAGCATTCTACTGAGTTAGCATCAGTTTTTTTTGTCACTGATCCCTTTGCCATAGTAATGTGCAAAAAATCAATGATCAAATCAGGTAAGTCAAATCTGAATGGTCATGAATACACAACTTTTCTCACTCGCTTTACTGCTCATGCTGGAAACTGCTGCAGTTGCTAAGGTCTGACCTTATACTTGGTGACTGGTAATGCATTGCGGTTGAATGTGCATGCAATGCGGTTGAATGTGCATGCACTACTGTATAACGTAATGACATGGAAAAACTGATTCTGTATTATACAGATAGTATCAAAACTCTAGAGACTCAAGTTTGATTACAGTTCGACACATTCTCATGTCTGAACTCAAAGGAATAAATAACGTGAAAAGAGTCATGCACATTATTTCTTTGCCCTTTGCAATTCACTCGTTAATTTTTCTCTTGATTCAACCCCTAAGGCATATTCAGAGTTTCTGCGAGGTATTGTTTAATGTTTAGAGAGTTTCTTTAAAAAAATTCAAATATGCATATAAATACACATTGCAGTAACGTGCCCATCGGGGTGAAATAACAAGCATTTAGGGAGTCTCCTGTTGTAGCATTGTGAGTCTGTTTCTACTTTGTCTCACATTGAATACACTGGAAAACCTTCACATTTGTCTAAATTACGATCGAAAAAAGAGAACTCCTAAATCCTAATAATCTCTACTGTTGGATTACTTCCAGTATTATAACACAATAAACACTGTGCCATCATCCTTTTGTTTACATTGTCTGTGCCTTATTAACAAGAATGAATACCCGTTCACACACAGACACACACCTAAACAATAACAATGCAACTATTGACATTGAGTTGCTGCTCTGTCTACAGCAGGTGGGATTTTATCTCTGTGCTACGGAGATGTTACATCGGAAATGATAATGTGAGAGTAAACATAGATAACCACAATGGAAATGAGATTAAACATCTGAGGTCAGAGTAGGTAGCGCAGTCACCGGCCCTTTTATATCTAAGAGACGAGCACAATATTGGATTAGCCCACTTTGGAGCGCTGATACATTTCCATAAACGACATGATGACGCACACAGAATCCTTGTGCATCTAATAGTCTATCACTTTAATATAGTTTAAAAAGATTTTGCCATTATGTATATGAATATTGAAAGAAAGTTCCATCAAGTGGCTCGACTTTTTTTTTATAATCTATAGTGGATGTTTATATTTTTATCCTTTTATTTTCTGTTCCTGATTCAGGATTCATTTATATTAACAGAAGAACAGACACCAGGCTGATAAGGTTTGAATCTGTAGAACCTGTACATAAATAGGACTTTTTAAATCAGAAGTTATGCATTATGTCCCGGATTTTGTTATGATATCATTTACAATGAGGATCGTTTTAGAGCTTATAGAAGTTTTATTTGCATTCCGTAAATCTCCACCTTATTTCAGAGCATATCAAGTTTCTCCTGTAGTAGAATTTAAATATTTTGAAGTTTTACTTCTACTGTTGTTGCGATGGCCCACCTTCAGATAATAACATACTGTACAATGCTTTTCTTAATGTACTCTTTCACTTGGCAAACAAGAAAAATACTTAAACTTAGGTTATATGTAAAACATTATAAAAGGAATTTTTGTTAAGTAACATTTGACTATAGTGACATTTGTCATGTATTGGCATATAAGTATTTAGGCCTACCTAGAGATCAAGGCTATATCCACTACAGCGCGGAGCGCGGTTTAAGCCACTAGGCGTAGTACCGGCTAGCGGGTACTATTTCACAGTTTTTCTGGCCCCATAAAATCGAGGTTCTTAGCGGGCCAACAACTAGGCTGAGTCGGGCTGAGTATGCTAAACTAGAGAGAGAGAATCGCTGGCAAGGGGGCTACAACTACAACAAAATGAACATATTTGACCGTGATTTAATTGTAATACACGTTTCAAAATGATGCCGAAGTAACAACATACTGATACCGGTTAGTAAAAAACATGAATTAATGCTTTGACAAGTCTGCAGACAGACGGCAGGTGAAAAACCTTTTAAAATGCGTGTTTTCTAGATGGAGATCGGCTAAGCTAACGCAGTCTATGCTCCGACCGTCCACACTCACAACAACGGCCTATACAGACATAAATAAACCAGCGACTGTATTCACCATGACACAGGCAGTCTGTGGTTTGTACTTGTTTAACTTTTGTCTAGTTTCTGAACAGATATGAGGAGCTGTGAGCTTGAGTGCTAACAGCTAACGGCTGATGTTGTTTTTCTGTGGTTCGCATTGAAGATGACGTCACGGCTCCGCCTACACTGCGTTACTATAGTTACTGCCCCAGCTACTAAACTGTAATGGAAACGCAGCATAAAGTGAGCCTGTCCTAACAAGGCCTAACTATACAGTACTAAGCCGAGCGAGGCCCTGCAATGGAAATGCGCCATAAATGATTCAAGTCTTATTTTTGAAAGAAAACAACTACACTTTTTAATTATATGAAATAATAGATGCTAAATCACTGCAAAACAGAACACAAGCCAACAGGAAATGTAACACATTTTTGGACGCATTGTAAATGTTGACATTTTCTGGGCTTGCCTAAATAGATATGTAAATACATTTTCAAAAAACGAGTAAAACCCTCTTGCTGAAAAGGTAATATATATATATATATAAATGTAATATGATAAGAGAATACCTCAGAAACTACAAATTGCACAATCAGTATATACTGTCCTCGAAAACAAGTTGAATATCAAAGAAATGCACAATTGCTGTCAAAGACAATATCATGCGAAATACATACAATGAAGTTAGCCTCTTTCCTGGTTATTGGTAAAAGTGTGTTGTTTTATGTCATCTAAAACTGTAAAGGTTTGGGTCAGTTCTGAGAGATTTCGATAAGATTTCGATTAGAAGTTCAATTCATGGAGTAACTGATACCATTTCTGCAGACTTCAGGAAGTCACTTCTATAATGGAGATGTGTTTTTGAAGTAGTTTCTGCACCATGTAAACATCCCATGTCTTTAACTCTGGTTTTCTATGTCTGCACAAAGTCAGACTTGCATGTTGTGTATGTCATAGAGCTTCCTCTGGTGGATTTATAGATATAGTTTTATAGAAGAGACATGTCTTTAGTTTTTACACATGCAACAATCAAACTCAAACAAACTCTCAAAGACCTATACTGTGTATGAGATGTACCAAACACGACGTGACAGTATTACAATGTTATCATCCTTAGCTATATGAATGCTTCATATAACTGATCTTGCACTTCCATTCTCGCTGTTTACTTCCTGCCACTTGACCCAAATAAGAATCAATAATTTCAATGACTTCCACTTTATGTGTCACTGTGCAGCTGCCGCCTTGATCGCTTTCTAGTTTCTATCCTTACAGTCGTGAAGTGCAATCTAATGTCGCCTCCTTGGCAGCATCCCCCCTCCTGCAAGGTTAAGGCGAGACATTGATTCATCCCAAATAGATTTTATTTTCCTTTCCCCTGCTTCAACCTATCAACCTACTTCACCTAGCATCGACAGCACCAAGGCTCACATTAAACTTTAATTTGAATCACGCTATGCTCGCCTTGTTGCTGGCAGTTCTCGAAAACCATTTCCATCTGCATACTCTTTTTCCAATCATGACACGGACTAAATGAAGCCAAAACAAATATCAAAATGCATTAAACAGCAGAGTGTCTACAAAGCATTGATAGCCAATGTGCAAACGTGGGTTTCAATGGGGAAAGTCTTATCGATGTAGAATGGTTTGTTACAATTGGATGAGATGGGTTTGGAAAGATAAATAACATCTTTTGGAAAAATATACTTAAAAAAATAAAAAGGTACTATTCTGCCTTTGCATTACAAAAATATTTAGTTACAATTTACATTTTAAAAGGAAATAAAAGCCTTAAAAAATTATCAGTGTGCTTTTTTTCAATCTTTCTGTGTTAAAGTTTGTCAAGAAGACTACATTTACATTCCTAATTTTCTGTTCTTATCCTCATCTCATACCACTCAACAAAACAGCAACCGATAAACTGTAAATGGCCTTCCACTGACATGGTTTTAATAGCCAGCAGGGGGTGACTCCACTGGTTGCAAATAGAATGCAGATTCTCTAGAAGTCTATGACAAAAATGACCCTTGTTCTAACTTTATTAATTGTAAACATATTCCTAATGAGTTTATGATCATAATCACTAGTTTCAAGTCCAAATACATTATGATGCTCATTTTGTAAATGTTATATACATTCTATGCAATCAAAAAAAGTGTGGCGTATTGTCACATTATTTTAACCTTTGCTGTCTTTACATGAGAATAATCCCCAAAAGGATATAAAGTACATAGTTATCCAAGCAATCTTTTCATGGATGTAGATTTTATTGTATTTAATCAAAAATGATATAGTGTCCGTCCAAGCGTGACTTGTTGGGAGCAGCTGTTCTGTACAGTTGAAATTAATCTGTAAAAACATACAGGAAGTCATAAAGGTCACCGTGCCGAGGTCAAGTCAAACATATACACATTTTGCACATAACAAATCAACTTGCTGGTCACTTATTCACTTTAATTGGCAGGGCTGAGGGCAGAGAAAAGAAACACTTTGTAACCATCTGTGTGTCCAGGAAAATCACTGAGTCATCTATTTATTCCACTCTGCCGTCTGTCTGCCCTTTATTTTGAATTACATTTTTCTTTGCTTTTTACACCTGTCTTATAAACAGACAATTCAGTACTGTACATTATAATACTTTGGTAACACTTTCTATGGCGCCCATTTCTATAATGCATTATAAACATACTCAATATGTTTACCCCGTAAAAGTGTCTTTGAGTATCTTGAAAAGCACACTATAAATGAATCTAAACTTATTATATAATGCTTAAAGCATTAACCTTCATTGTCACACGCTGAATGATTGTGTTTAAGATTTCCTTTAGTTTTAATACATTATGATTGTCTTATGATACATTATAATCTGATGTAATGCACTGTATTGTGATTCTAACTCTAAACTGCCATTGCATTTATCATTAGAAATGATTCAAACAATGTGTAATAAGGTTAAGACCCTGTTTTTGTATTTTCATAATGCATTATCCACATTGGTGCCAAAGAAAGTGTTATCAATACAATAACATTAACACAAATGCTGTGTTGAAATCCTGAATGTTGTGTTTTGAGTTGTACACATTATCTTTGGCAAAATACGTAACATCTAAGTGATAGTTAGCATGTTCATTTACAACATGTTGCTGCAGGTTTACAGTCCAGCAGAACAACAACAGGTCCATGGCAATTCAGCTTGGCTCACTCGGGATACCATTTCTCTCCTGTGGAGTGACAGTCTTTGCGTCAGTTCCATTATTATCCGTGTTTTTATGTTTCTCAGACTGTTGGGAGACCATTTGTTCATTAGTAAAGGTCAATCGTTTATGAATTGACACACGAGTGAGCTGCAGTTTTCTGCGAAACGGCCCTCTGCAGCGAAGCAGCTCTGCGTAGGCCTTGCGGAAATCCCTGTTGAAGGCTGGATACAGGATTGGGTTAAGAGCCGAGTTAAAATAGCCCAGCCACAGGATCACAGAGTTAAGTGTATTAGGGGGGTTTGTATTTTCCTTTATGCCCATGCAGGTGAATAAGGTGAAGTAGGGGAACCAGCAGATGACAAAAGCCCCCAGAACAGCTACCAATGTCACTGTAGCTTTGTGCTCCCGAGCTATGGCTTGATTTGATGCTGAGCGTGCAAACGACGGAGTGGCAGCACGAATTCGCTTCACCTGAAAAGAGCCGTAAAGCAAAGGTTAGAGACACAGAAAATGAAAGAAGTTCCATCAGCAACAAGTGAATGTGACTGAATGCTATTCTTTTATATGTCCTTTCCACTAAAATGACATTCACTAAAAGAAAATCATATTTTGTATCGATTTCCTTAGACGGATACAAAAAGTGACCTTTTACATTGCGCCTGTGCATGTTTTACAGAATAAAAAAAAAACACTGACCTGTTCTCGTGCCACTCTGAATATGCAAAGATACATTCCGCACATAAGCAGCAGAGGCAGGTAAAATGTGCCAAAGGTATAAACGAGAACGTAGTTGTTATTCCATTCAAACTGGCAGTAGTATCCCTCTTTGTCCTCCTCCCCCATGCCCCAGTCCGAGTGCTGCACTCTATAGTCTGCCGTGTTCCAGCCCAGGTGGATGGGCACAAAGGACACTGCTAGTGACAAAGCCCAGATGGTGATCAAGGCCAGTGTCACCCTCAGACGGGTAACTCTCCGGGAGTAGCTAAGGGGAGCTGTAATGGCTAAGTATCGGACCACACTGATGGCCATCAGGGTGAGGATTGAGGATGCACAGAGCAGCACATCCAGAGAGATGTAGATGTTACACAGGGCTCCTCCGAGGGGCCATTTTCCGCTGCGCAGCTCCACGCTTGCAGAAAAGGGCAACACCAGCAGGCCTAGCATCAGATCCGTCACCGCCAAGGACACAACGAAGCAGTTAGCGATGCGCCACAGTCGACGGCTGAGTCCCACAGCCAAACACACCAGCATGTTCCCACCGACGGTCAGAATGATGAAAGCCACCAGAACGAGCGAGCGGAGAGCCATGGAGATCATGGTCACCTCCACTCCTTAAACACAGTGCTGTGGTTCGTTCGCTCAGGAAACGGGCTCACCAAGGACAGGTTACTTTTCCATCAGACACCTTTCTACATGGCTCCTTTGTTTGAAGGTATTCAGGATCAGTAGTAGATCATTGAGTGTAAAGCACTTCAAAGCCATGTGTTTTCCCACAGTCCCAGGGCTATTAACACTTTCCTGGTGATAAAAAAGAACAGTGGTTATTAATTAAAAAAAATCACGTCATAATATAGATACATTTTAATAATTGTGAATTTCAAAGTTAAGCATGTTTATCGTTCTTAGTTCATGGATCGCATTTAATAATAATCTAAAAGGAAATCATGCTTTAAATAATGTATTAACGTACATATGCGTCAGACAAAATGCATGCAAAAAAATGATACTGCAGTGTGCTTGCTTTGTAATTGTTACAGATGTCTAAACTGTTTGTATACATCCCTACATCTAGGAAAAGTTAACTTGTCTAACTTAAGGTAGTGTTGTGTAGTTTAGCTTTCTTTAAACCCAATCTTTACCATCCCTGCTACTCTTTCGGTAACTATATCCCAATTTGACCACCTTCCGAACAGACACCATACAGGTGCGTATAAATCCATTCAGCCCATCAAGGAAATAATGAAAACAAAAAAAGTTAACTTGTAGAGGAACGCCGGGTAAAATCCTAAGAATAATACATTACCATTTATAATAATTTGCATATTCAAACACAAGCAACATCAGTAGTACAATCCATTATTGTTTAACCAGATTCACAACATCCCAGTTTTCCGCATTTAATGACAATGCTGATGTTTAGGCTTTGGTTGACATTTTAAAGGTCCCATGTCATGCTTTGCCGGTTATTACCCGTCCCCTTGTGTGTTATGAAGGTTTTTCTGCATGTAAACGGTCTGCAAAGTCACAAACCCTCAAAGTACACCCTGTACCGAGTAAAACTCTAACACAGAAAAGACCTGTCTATGCTGCCCCAGAACGCCTCGTTGGAGATTTCTCTTTTTCCATTGTTTTCTTCCTGGGTTCAGTGACGTGCCCATACCCAAATTGACCCATTGGTCCAATCCATGGAGCTCCTCACACACACACACACACACACACACACACTCTCTCAGCGGCGAAACTGTGACGTGCTTGTGGGGGGGGGGGGGGGGGTTCTAGTGGAGCCTCGCAGATGGGGGTGCTGCAGCCCCCTCAGCATCCCCCCCTTCCCGAGTCCATTCGCGGTGTCTCGCTGTCTATGAGACAGTAACGGTGGTAGACCATAGTGGTAGACTCATCAGAACTTGTGGGCGAGCTGACCAATCAGAGCACAGTGGGCTCACAGGGAGGGGGGGGGGGGCAGGAGCTCCAACAAGCCGTTTAGGACAGAGAGTGAATACACATACTATACAGTGATGCTGTATGAGAAACCAATGTGAGTTTGGAAAATTGCACAATATAAATATATTATACCTCAACAATGGAATTATGATCAGTAGATATGGCCATGACATGGGACCTTTAAGAGTTATATACTAAAGCCCCATAAACTGACAAAACTGACAGTCTTATGAACAATACAGAGGGACTAGTTTTGGTTCTAAACGTGATATCTGCAGGATTTAGGCTGTCCTACACAGGAACACTGATCATTGGTATGACAAGAGATAAAGGGAATAGGCCTCAATATAAACATATAATGAGGTTGTGGAGCTCTTTCCTAGAAAAGGGAACATTTAATAGAGACGAAGAGAGATACAGCATCTCAAGCAAGTGTGGGCTGTATATTGCATCACTCTCAGGCTAATTCAAGACAAGATCTTAAAAAACGATAAAACATTCTACCAAAGTCTTAGGAGTAAAGTAAACAAGAAAAACCAACAACATACTGTAATGTCAGTATTAGCTACTTTTGGAATGTTAAAGAGATGCATTTATATTTTCCCTGATGACTTTGCATCCACAAAGAAAGCCATTCTCTATTTACAAATGGATACACCCGTTGAATATTAAAGTATGTATACAAGAGTAAAATATGATCCATCTGGAGCACCAGACTGGCGTTTTACTCTGAGGTCAAAGCTCCAGCTGTCTTGCTTTACAGGGAAGCTTTGCTATTTCATTTTTAAATTAGAAATGCATCTAAAAATAACAAATCCTTTTAACAAGTGCAACCTCAAACGGAAACTTTTAACAACAGCAGGAATTATGTTTTATGATATGAATCCAATATGTACTGTATATTTCACACGTTGCTCTTGCATCACCAGCATGCATTACATGTCATCTGTGGACATTTTTCAAGAAACCTTAAGGGTTACTTTGGTATATTGTCATATTAATTTATATACTATTGTTTGTTTTACGTTTATATTGCTTGTTCTTATTAATTCTAGTTTCTTAAAGTTTATTTAAAAAAAAAAAATGTGTCTTCATTGTCTATTTTCTGCTCTTATTGGTGCTTTATTGAACACTTGTCTGCATGATTGTATAAAAGGTGCTCTATAAATAAAGCTGAGATGAGTTGCCAATAGTAGTGCAGCTCCAATGAGCCTGACTGCTGCTTGACAGTGTATACATTCTGCATGTTTGATAATGATGTTTGCAATTTGCCATCTGCTTTCTTATCACAGCAACGCCCTCTGATGTACTGTATCCCATAAAAAAAAGATTATTACGTTTTGATGACAGCAACAACAGACTGATAGATTAAAGATGGTATTCTTTTTTAGGCTAAATCATGAATTATACGTAAAATATCTTTAATTTGTGGTAGTAAAGTTACATGAGTGTAATTATGAGCTGTAACTATTCTAGAGTTCAGAACAGCTTATTTCATACAGTGAGGTCAAGTTTCAAAAAGTGGTCACACTACAATGAAATTGCTACTGTGGGGGCTAGCATCATCAAACATTTATACGATTGGGTTCATCGAATTCTCAGTAGTCTCAGCTTTCTAGCCGTACCACATTTATGCAATTAACATTTTTTTCAGGGACACACACAACCTTCCCTCATCCAGCACCAGTCACTTTTCTACCCATCTCCGCTGCTACTGCACTGAAACTACTTTGAACATTTTTCTATTTTGCACAAAAAATACTTGCATTAATGTTAATTCATGTTCTGTGGACTGTGTTTTTAAATATATTATTAAACCAGCACTTATTAATACTATTACTTAGCTGTATACCCTGTGTATCTAGGCCCTTTTTTGTATCTTGTTTTATGTATATTTATTACATGGCTTAGTTGAATACTCGATTCTGATTGGTCAATTCGGAACACGTGACATGTTGTTAATCCAGAACAGACAGACCGCTGTCAAGGATTTATGACCGTTGTTAAGGACGCTCAAATCTGCAGAAAGAAGTCCGGTCGATTGAACTGTATACAGTTTGGCTGAAAAGCAAACTGCATGCAGTTTCACTGACAAGACAAGAGACGCTCAGAAAGAAGTTCGGTCATTTAACTGTTTTTCAAATGTAACAGTTTGAAAAGCAAGCAAACTGTCTGCTTGTCTTTAGTTTTCCGCTGTCGTGTGATAGCAACATGGAGGATTTTAACATTCATTTTAATATATTTGGAGAGCACAGTAATTTGGAGGAATGGTTAGTGGCTGATGAGTCCCCAGTGAAGAAAAGAAAAAGACAAGAGGGACAAGAAAACAGCGGAGAAGTAAGAGAGGCGAAAAGACACCGAGATTTGAATGACAGAGAAATCGACCAAATTGAAGAGGACAGGCATGAATTGAATACAAAACGGAACACATTATGGGCTATGAAACTATTTAAAGACTGGTTGATTGAAAAAAAAGAACCAACAGAGTTTGACAGCTATGGAGCAGAAACCCTGAACACGCAGCTGCGGTCCTTTTATGCAACGGTCCAGACCTCAAACGGCAAAACCTATTCAGTTGCCAGTTACTTGGGCATTAGGGCAGGGATATCAAGAACCTTTCCAAGGTTTGACATCATGAACTGCGCTACTTTTAAAGCAAGCAACGATGTTTTCACATCTGTTGTAAAAAAGCTCCGCAAAAACGGGAAAGACGTCAGCCAGCACCACCCGCCTATCTCAGCTGCGGATTTGCGGCTGCTCAGGGCTTCACAGACGCTGTCTGTGAACACAGCCGGCGGACTGGTCCGGAAAGTGTGGATGGATGTCCAACTGCATCTTGCCAGACGAGGCAGAGAGGGAAATCGACATTTGAATCAAAGCTCTTTTATTTTGAAACGTGATGATCACGGATGCGAATATATATCTCTTGCCCACAACGCCGATACCAAAAATCATAAAGATCCAAAAGACACAAATAAAGAGAATGACAGAGGTTTTATTTTCGCCGAGCCTGAAAACCAAAATTGCCCCGTTGCCAGCTTCAAAAAGTATGTTTCCCTGTGCCCATCTGACGCCAAAGCCTTCTACCTTCACCCACTAAAAAAGGACCAACAGCTTCTCAACGGTGAATCAGTGTGGTATTCACGTGAGCCCATGGGACATCATTTCCTTGGGCAAATGCTACCCACAATAAGCCAGGCAGCCCAGCTTTCAAAGCGCTACACAAACCATAGCTTGAGAAGCACGGCTGTACAACTGCTCTCTCAGGCTGGTCTTGGATCAAAAGAGATCATGTCTGTGACTGGGCACAGGTGCGAGAGCAGCCTGAAGAGTTACTGGGCTCCAACAATAACCGAAAGGGAGAAATGGAGCAACATCCTGTCCTCCAACCCAGGAAATAGCACCACATCGGGTCAGTGCCTTTCCATGTTGTCTGTCCTTACACACACATTAGCGGTAGCGATACAACTGTGGCAATATTGTTTCCCGTTTTTTTACATGTTGGGAATTGTGCTTTCAGATGTGTCATCTGCGAAACCCCCGCAAGGAGAGAGGATCGAGGACAGAAACGTTGATCTCAATATCCCTAAAGATTTCCCATTCACCATGTCACATTGTACTATTAATGGAAACGTTCAGGTTAATGTTAATTACAGCTAAGGCTCAAATGCTAACATGCACAGAGTTAGTTGCTATCGAAGCAGTTCCTGCCGTTGCAACAGCCTAGTTCAAACATCAACAACGGACTATTTTTCGTAGCGGATGAATGTCATTTTAAATCAGTTACAACTATGTTTTTAATCATTAAAAACATTTTCTAAAACAATAAAAGCATTTCAATTAATATTGGGAGTCATATCGTTACTTTGTTGAGAATGTGGCCATGTAATAAGTGGGATAATGTGCAGCGACTTGGTCATTATGGGGAAAAGAACACCTTCATGCCGATCTAGATCCCTCCGCTTCGCGTCGGGCTCCTGATCTGCCTGTCGGTGTTCTTTTACCCATAATGACCGCGACGCTGCACATTATCCCTTACATGTCACACTGTGGGACTGCGGGAAACGGTATCTTGAGATTTCTGTATGTATAAACACATGTTGAAATGTTGACAATAAAGCTGACTTTGACTTGACTTTGACCCCATAATGCACAACAATTAATAGCAAAATAAAACCTTTGTACTGTTTGCAAAAGACTACATGGTTTCTGTGCCAAAGTGCATGGAAATAGCATAAACCTGATTGGTCAAAGGGGAAGTGCACCAGCTGCTCTCAACCCTTAATTAGGAGCCTGGTAGTCAGAATAACCTGGAATCCACTCATATACTTTATACATTACTCTTAAAGGTCCCATGACATGCTTTTCCTGTTATTACCCGTCCCCTTGTGTGTTATGAAGGTTTTTATGCATGTAAACGGTCTGCAGAGTCAAAAACCCTCAAAGTACACCCTGTAGCGAGTAAAATACAGAAAATACCTCCCCAAAACGCCTCGTTGGAGATTTCTCATTTTCCAATGTTTTCTTCCTGGGTATCGCTACGTAGGGATACACAACCTGTAAGTATTCATTGTTGTTTGTGTATTTATGATGTTTAAAACAAACAAGGTATCTACCACGACTGTTTAAATGGGTAAACGTTTTTCGGGCTACTACGTTGGGATCGCGGAGAAATGCTCTCCGCAGACCCATTCTCACAGCGTTATAAACCTTTTTCTTACTCAATATCAAGCCACACTTATTGTTTTTACTTCGGCTGTGAGTGTTTGTGTGTGCTCAGGATGAGTTTCGCTTGTTCTCCTGTATCGCCGAGACGCCGACACGGAAAGCCTGTCTGCTCCTGCAGCAGCTCACACAGCTGCGAGCAGCAACGAGCCTCTCAGCTTCACGACCAATCAGAGCACACTGGGCTCACAGGGAGGGGGGGCAGGAGCTCCAACAAGCCGTTTAGGACAGAGAGTGAATACCCGGTGAATACACATACTTTACAGAGATGCTGTATGAGAAACCAATGTGAGTTTGGAAAATTGCACAATATAAATCTATTCTAGTAGACCTCAACAATGGAATTATGATCAGTAGAAATGGCCATGACATGGGACCTTTAAACAAGGATTTGACGTTAACTGAGCCGATTGGGGAAGACTTTGCACAGTGTCTCTTTTTTGGTAATTACTGGTCAACATATTTATAATTGATAATCAGTCATATGCACAGGCACATCTTTAGAAATATACATTTATGTTGGTTCTGACATCATGGATCCTTATTGACTAGCGTGTTTGTGACATAATGCAATTTAAATAGCATAAATATGTTCTTTAATTTAAAATAAGTCCCCCCAACACATAATATACTGGTCTCCTTTTTCAGTTTAAAAAAAGTTGACCTTTCTTTTTTAAAGTAACACTTGTGTACACACCTTCCGCCTCTGATAACATCATATAATATGACACTCAAGAGGCTTTGTTTAACTTGGCAAAGACTCATTATTAATACACACAGTGATAAAAATGCAATATTCTATGGTTATTACAGATGTCCAAATGCATGACACCGGTTAAACAAAAACAAACCGCTTGCTCTTTCATGTTTAGTTTATTCTTTATATGTCAAATCTATGGTATCTACAAACATAATGACGAACAGATTGCTGGGTTGTTTTGTTTTATGAGTTAGTGTCATCCATTCAGGGTTTTCCAAAAACGATATCATCCCTGACAGATATGATAACATCAGGTGTATACTTTGACAGTGATAACAACAGTGACTATAAAGTTATATTGTTTGGGTTAGGGTAGACACAATTATAAATGGTGTTTTAACAAACATTTTTATAATGATGCATTTGATGAAGTATAATTAAAACACTTCAAAAAACACATAAGGGCCTTTTTGTACAGATGTTTGCCTTTCAGATGACATACTGGTTTACTTGTTGGTACATTTTGTTTGTGACGTAAGCAGCCTGAATGAAATATCTGCAGACAATATTCAGGACGGAATAAAAGTATGGTGCTGCAAACCATGTTTCACGGTTATTCTTTGTAAACTATTTATTTATTGAATTATTTACTCCTAAAAAAAGTTGCTAGTCAAACCCTGGTTAAAGGACAGCACTGTGTTCATTTTTGTAAATATGCAAATACAACAGTCCATCAAGATATACTAGGTATCTAAAGGATACAAACATTGATGAAGGTGTATGCATTAACAATTTCAGATGTTAGCATTTTTGTTACAGTACATCAAATGGGCCCAGATATGTAAAAGGACCTAAAATAACTACCTTGCTAAATAGGAGAAGACACTGAAAGGGTCAAATTGTCCTTGATGTGCATACCATTGTCATCGTTCTGCATCAATTTGTAGTTGTTTTGTGTAATTATGAAGTCATTTTGCAGCGTAGCAATTGTTTGACAAATGTTGGTCTTTTCGCACCTTTGGAGTGCTTAAGAATATTTGTATTAATTAATTTTATTTATAATATAGAGGTTTTTCTTTTTTTTGTTATGTACATGTGGTCGCTCAACATGTCAATATTTTTGGCCCTGTGTTCAAATATAAAAGTAAACAAACCAACGTTTCTACACTCCAGACTTTTTTAGTACCAGAAACAGCACACATTTCTGTGAGCTTTAGCTTGTCTCAAATACAAATAATTCACTTGTTTCCTCAAGCTAATAGTTACATAATTTATAGTAGCAATGTTTCAGTTGTACCTGGCCATTCAGGGAATTCAAGGTTTTAATGTTTTTTTAATAATGTCAAAAGATGACCCTCAGGGATGAACACTTCTTGTTTCCATGGTGACATTGGGTTGTTCACTACTGACAGTTTAAATCGAGTTGCAGCTGTCGTTAGCCTGCTTCTCCCTTGATGCTATGAACCAGACTTCACACTGGTAGAGGATTTCATATTAAACTCAAATACTAACCATGTTGGTCTCTCTTGTCATATTGCCTTGTTGTAACAGAGCTTATCAGGTGAAACACAACACCATTGTTCCATGATGAGAACATGAGATCTTTTGAAATTTCATTGAATAATTAATTTGATTCCCAGACAGTCAGAAGCCTATAACACATGCAGTGCAAACCTGAAGTTATCTAGAATTACCTGGTAAAGCTGTATGGGAAAGTGGTTCAAATTATTTAACTGGACTTTAACACAGATTAGACAGATTTAAACAGATTAACCCTGCCAGTACAAAGTCTGTGTAATTGAGCAATGCGTTAATAGAGCCGCTCATTGTCAGGGGCTCTTACAGCGAGTGGTGGGTGTTTTCTACTGCAGCTGATTTATATATTAATATATAAATATAAACACATTAGAAGGTGAAGAAGAAGGGTCACATACAAAAATGATGTCCAAATGGTTGGTGGAATTTCTGACATGACCATAATGAAATCTGCTTCCTGCCTTGCCTCCTCAACGCTCTACAAGGTGTCAGCCTTCACCTAAACCAAACAAAGTTACACTTACAAAATGTTCCAGACTTTTCAGAGCTCATATGAAAATGCAGCTCAACTATGACAAGATTAAAATAATCTGCTCTAATTTTCTATTACATGAGAAGAATGTAACAGAAAATAAACATGTAGTTGCATGACTAATACATTTATCATTATTATTAAGTTATATTGGCTGTTTTTGCAATACGCAGCATTGCCCATTGCCTACGTTATTGCTTGTCTCATCTACAGTGAATAAAAGACATCCTGTTTCTGTTTGGCATTTGTTAATAATGATAGAAGTACGTATATCTGTACACAAAGGACAGAGAACAGGTCGGGGAATAAAAAGTATCATTGAATAGATTAAGTTAACCTGCTGAAGTTCATGAGTCAACAATGTGGGACAACAATGTGGCATCCGGCCCAGAAAAACACAAGTTGTGTCAACAATTCAACAACATGTGAGAAGTGAAACTACTAAGACGAGTGTTGGCAATTTTCCAAAGTCACGTCCAAGGAGAAGTTATATGATATGTGTACAGTGCATTTTTATCCTTGCCTTCCTCGTCCTCATGAGTTTATTGAACTTTATCTGCACTGTATTTTAATACAGATTAAACAACCAATCAGAATATAAATGTATGATATATACTTCAAATACATACCATAGACCTGCACGACCGAAAACACATTGGATCAATCTTTTAGAAATGATGAATATTGGACGTAATGTAGAATACAAGTCTAAAACCATGCCTGTCGTCCCACTTGCGGCTAGAAACATGTAAAAAGTGTTTTCAACTGAGTAACAAACTGACCATCCAACACAACCATATTTTTCTAACACTGAATCCAGAAACTCATCCTCTTATATAGGGCTCAGACACACAGCGACTTGTATGGAGAACAATTAACATGAAACCACAGGGGCAACAATTATCTTATAACAAATGCAAAATGATAACTGGCCTTGAGAACAACTTTAGTACACTGGAGTTAACTGCTGGATCAAGACTAAACCACCTACCTGCAGGCTCACTAACATCATGTAAATGGGTAACCAGAGAAAATAAAACACAAATGAATCACTAAACAACACATTCATACTTTTCTATACATTTACAAAGAGTTTTATCTCATTAACATCATCTTGCTATAAACAGTTGTGTAATTTCCTAAAGAAAGTAGTTGAAATCGTGTTGACTCACCTCACATTGTTGGTCTTAAAGGTCTGTGTGATCCCAGCCTTCCTCGCAGAACATGAATGATCCCACTGCTTCCTTGATCCTGCTTAAACTTATTTCTCTCTCTCTTTCTCTCAGTCTCTCTGTATCCCCTCCCTCCCTCTCTCTCTCTCTCTCTCTCTCCCAATGTCTTCATCCTCATAGACATGTGCAGAGTGACACATGTAACCTATTGTGTGCTTTAACTCCCTCTAGTGCATCCATGTGTTGATTGCTGGTGCACATTTTCACTGTTGTTAGGGCTTACATTTGTTTTCTTCTTACAAGGGTATTGTCCAATTTCAAGGGGCTCAAGAGTATTTCAGAAGATTATGATTGCATTTAATTAAACAAAGATGTATCCAATATTGTATCCTAACATAATTTCTTTATTACTGGAGCATGTATGGCCTTGAAAATGAAACCACAAAAAATGAGTTTATACGTATTTATTGTGAGTGAGATAAAAATGCTCTTTAAACATGTTGGTTCCCTAATAATGAATTATTGTAGTACCCTTTACCCTCTTAATAATACATCAAATTCAATAGGTGTGTTCTTTGCCCAACTGCAGACAATTAAGTTTCAGTTCTTGGCCCTCCAAGGTGAAAACGTTTCCGCAGCCCTGTCCTATAGTATATCCACAATTAGAGAAGGAAGCACAAGATTAAGTGCAGAAGATATGAGATGATCACCTCATGACATCACCTGCTGGACCAGACCGTATCGACGGTGGATTGACCGCCTAGGGAGAAGAATGAGGCGAGCCACGATGGAAGCCAAGTTTGCCGTGCTAGGATCTAAGGCCGTTCCGGGCTTTATCAAGGCAATGATTAACAGAACATTGTATAATCCTTTGTTTTGAGAATAACAATAAATGATCCTAATTAAATATGCATCTTTATTGTAATTGAAATGTTGATATTATTGATATCTCTAATTTTGTTGTGCAAGACGTTTATGTGTTTATTGGCACTACATTTAAAGTCAGAGGATCACGAAATAAGTAATTACAGTTCATTCTATGGGAGGCAGATGAATGTCAATCAACATTTCATTACAATCCAACCAATATTTATTGGGATATTTCAGTCAGGACCAAAGTGGACTGACTGACAGGCTGTTGCTAGCAGTCCAAGCAGCAACATTACGGCACAAATAAACATGTTGACAGCCTGGGACAACAAACGGTTTGGGTCTCTAAAGCTTATTTCCCCGTTCATGATTACTGCACATCTGGTGAAATTGTATTGAAATCACCCATTTTAATTAAGAAAAGGCTCAAAGCAATGAGGGGTGTGGCAACACAGGTTTTAGGAATAGTTTCAAACTATTATCATAACGTGTCTACTGATTAGGGATGGGTATCGTTTGAAATGTATCGATTCCGATTCCGGTTCTGCTTATCAATTCCGGTTCTTATCGATTCCCCGTTTCGATTCCAAAATTGTAAAAGAAAGAGGTCAAACGTTTAGATAACAAAAATATCTTTATTCTTTTAAGCTTTAACTGACATTTTTACAAATAAAAAATATACATGCAATACAAATGTATTGCACAATAGCTGTGCTTTATTTTAACTGAGCTATGCCTGTGGCAAGCTATTAACTTGCCACAGGCATTACACTGTGCCTTGTCTTTTTCTTTTTTAGTGTAGTGGAGCCTCACTTTAGAGCGTTTACCGCGATCCATCTTTGGTGTTATGAAGTGACTGAGCTTGTGAACTGTCTACGGGAGGGCGGGGGGAGCCTCGCTGCGGGGCAATGTGGACCTCTGTCGCCCTCTGTCGCCCTCTGTCGCCCTCTGTCGCCCTCTGTCGCCCTCTGTCGCCGCAACTTACATGATGCCATTTAAAAAAATTAAGGGCGGTGCCGGCCGTCAGCGAACCGAGCCGTCCGTCAACGGCCCGCTGACGACCGGCCGTTCTGTGATTCTCCAGAAAACACAGATGGCCAGTCCGCCCTTACCCTGTATTCCACCGGGTCACCGCGGCACAGACGGACCCGGTGGAATACAGGCTCTACCGCGTTTAGGAACCGTTAAGCAGAACCAAAATTGTGTATTTTGTATGGGTACCCGGCATTTTCTTATCGGTTCTCATCTGGAACCGAGTTTCGGTTCCCAACCCTACTACTGATACTAGTCATTACACTGGTCATCAAACCCAATAGGTCTATAGTTAGAGTATAATTATGATGTATTCTTTGAGGTTTTTTTGATTCATGAAGGTCATAGCATAGCAATAGTCTCTTACTTAGGCTTGAGGAGTGTTTTTTATTAACTAGCCTTACTGACATAGTACTACTTTAGAATGTACTTAAACCAAGAGAGTCACCCCTCCTTTAAATGCATATTATGGGTTTTATTTAAGAATTCAGACCGGAAGATTTGTGTGGATGTTGACTGGGAATTTAATATCCTCAATCCAAGAGGGAGCCGTAAAATACCACATCTAGGGAGGAGGAGAAGGCCTGAGAATTGGGCCAGACGGGCAAGACTATTTGTTCAACTAGAAATAGCAGTGTGCTATAAAACTGAACAGGTTATATGGGGGTAACAAAGACACATTTCTGAGGTGGAGAACAAATTAGGCATTAAGAATGTTGAGTAATAAGTAAACTCATTTGGAAGCATTGGTCCAGAAAAAAACGTTTGGTATAAGCAAAGCCAGAGGATGAGAATCTTGTTATTTTAATCAATAGATTTTTTTTTTATATACGGATGAAAAATGAACCATCATTTGTATTATCTAATGCTATATTTTCACTTTCTTTTGCTTGAAAGTTTAATTACTAAAGTTTATTTAAGGTGTGTTACCTTCAGAAAGAGACTCAAAACTTCTCACAACCAAAATAAACTACACAGTAGCAGGTTTTAAGCTAAAAAGATTAAAAGAAAAGAAATCAGAAATAAATACGTTCGTTACAAATGTACATTCATTCTGACCTAAATGATTAAGATTGCTTCATATTAAGAATTTCGAAAAGTTAGCAATTAGCGCTTAGCAGACGATGTAGCTATTTTATTTGCCAGCATTTCTATTTCATTTTAACATAAAGTGTACATGCAAAGTACCTTGGAGCCAATGCATTTATATCATGCGCTTAAATTGTCACAAAACATTAAGCATTTAAAAAAAAAAAAAAAGATTGGTACTTCAGTGTTTCCCCTAGGATGGAGTCATAGCAGCGGTGCTAAGGCACGTGGACCCAGCATAATGTGTACACGTGCGAAGTGCGCCCCAGCACAAGAAAGGCTCTTGAGGCCTCGTACCAGGGCCGGTTCTAGCCAATTTGCTGCCCTAGGCGAGATTTTAGGCGAGATTTTATATATAAAGAATAAATGAAAAATCTCTACAAAAGACAAATACACTACAAAAACAGAAACTTGTTGACATAGGTAATATACGTCAAAATGGCTTCAAATGTATTCAGTATTGTATTAACATGTTTGATTTGGGGGGTGGACGTCACATCCTCAAAGGGGGTCCGGGGGTATGCCCCCCCGGGAAGATTTTTTTGAACATTTTAAAGTAAAATGCTTCAATCTGGTGCACTTTGAGCAGACAATTACTAGAGACCTGATCTAGGGGGTACAACTCTAAAACACCCATATGAAAAAGATCGGTTTACATTTTAATAATCAAATAAGTATACGAACATAACCAATAACCTACCATAGCCAATAACAAATAAATGTGACTTATTTTATTTTTGTTGTTCATTCATATCTTATTTTACCTAGTTAACATTTATTTATTCATGCATTTTTTTGTATCTCTCCAACTTTAAACGATATTTTTGGTTTACTGTCCTATAGTATACATTGGAATGATTTCAAACCTGTTTTTATTCATCCTAATAATTATAAAGGAGTGCCTTGGAAATATGTGTTTACATAATTTGTGGTCAAAACGTTTGAGACCCACTGAGATGACTTTGAGTGTTTAGATAGTTCACTTTAGTCTGAGCTAGCTCTCTCTCACTCACTCACTCACTCACTCACTCACTCACTCACTCACTCACTCACTCACACTCTCACTCTCACTCTCACTCTCTCTCTCACTCTCTCTCTCACTCTCTCACACTCTCTCACAGATTCTCACACACACTCTCACACTCTCTCACACTCTCACACTCTCTCTCTCTCTCACACTCTCTCTCTCTCTCACACTCACGCTCGCACTTTGGCTGTGAGCTGCGGGCGCCTGATAAGCCAACATCCCCCACTTTCATCACTTACAGCGCCCATCGTACAGGGCAAATGAAAAGTGTAACCGGGGTGAAAAGGGTGTTACATTTACTTAATTATGAATGTTGTTGCATCAAGGCTGAAAATTAGGATGAGCGCCAACGGTCAAAAAAAATGTTCCCCCTCCCAGAGCTACCAGCGCAGCGCCTCCCCAGATCTGGCGCCCTAGGCGACCGCCTATTCCAAAAATCGGCCCTGCCTAGTACATACAGTGGCAATGTCTCAAGATTTAGCAAAAAATACACCTTTATTGAACATACAGTAACACAAATACTACAAATCCACATAACAAACAATCAAAAATTAAAAAGGGTCGCCACTTATTATTATTTTAATAAAAAAAAAAAAAGTAAAAAAAAGAATATATTTTTTTCTTCTTTTTTTTTGGGTACCTGGCTGGCGCCCCCTAGCGGCGGCGCGCATATTTCAGCAGCGGCGCTGCGCCGCCACTATTTGTATATAGGGGAAACACTGTGGTGACTGTATACAAATCTGACTCTTTTCTTCCACCTGCTGGAACTAGTGAACTATGGTCAATCTAAATGACAAAGAAATAAGATAGTGTCAACATTAATAATATAATAATTAGGGCTGTCAAGTTAACGCATTAATAACGCGTTAACGCAAAAATTAACGCCACTAATTATTTTAACGCGATTAACGCATGTGTATTTTTTGTCCTCGGCCGCCCCGTAGTTTCAGAGCGCATCGAGTTTAAAATACCATCTACAAGCTGATGCTGACAGCCCCGCTCCTGCCGCCCGCTTGTG